ACACACACACACACACACACACACATACGCACACACACGCACACACACGCACACACATTCTCCTGTCTATTCATGGGGAACGCCACCTGCTGGAAACTGGGTCCAGCATCCCATGAACATCGTGAATATAGCACCAACCAGGACCCCACATACGCACACTCTTTGAGTTGTGTATAGCGAACATGACAAAACATAAATACAACATAATCACTACCTTACCCTTCCCGAACCACATCAACAAACAAACTACGGGCTGCGAACCCGTCCCTCACGCTAAGTCAATGGTTCAACGCCAAGTGCCCACACACCCGTCTGCCGCCAAAGCGGCACACTTGCACATATACATATGTACATATGTATACATATATATTTCAAACCATAAGGGGATGGAGGGCAGAGGGCAACTTACCTAAGACAGAAGACTACTCCAGCAAGAAGGCACCGACCTGACCCCCTCAAAGGTCCGAAAAAACTTGGAGAGCCTTCTGCATCAACCCACAAAACCAAAAACTCATTTATAAAAAACAAACAGATATAACAGCATTGGCATTCCCGACATTCATCTCAAACTACACTCGCATCGCTGCCAAAGAAGAGGAAGAAGATAAGAGACAACTTACCTAAGACAGGGCTCCTCCAGCAAGAACGCACCGCCCCCCCTGGTAAGGGTCCGAAAAAACCGGGAAAGCCTTCCACGCTGGCCCACAAAACATACATTCCCCCCGAAGAGAACTTGTGGCCACCCGTAAACATCCAAACAGGCCATGCTCGGGCAAAGAATTAGGCCGTGTATAATCAACAAAACCGACAAGACATATCCAACCTCAAAAAGAGAGAATAGCTCGCTAGTACGAGCCCGATCTTATCCGCTCAAATCTGCCAAGACAGAGAGCTAGCAAGACCGGTATGTGTGTGTGTGTGTGTGTGTGTGTGTGTGTGTGTGTGTGTGTGTGTGTGTGTGAGAGAGAGAGAGAGAGAGAGAGAGAGAGAGAGAGAGTTTGCAGCATGCAGCATGCAGCATGTCAGTGGCAGGGAGCACAAGGGCAAGTGCTGACCTCCTAAAAAAGGAGAAAGGGAAATGTTCTATTGGAATAGAAAGGGTACACATATTCGAATACAATGCGTAGGTTTTCTATTCCAAGTGCTCTTCTATTCGACAAAAGTGGACACACACCATTTTGATTTCGAAATGTTCAAAACTCAAGGACTGCAGCCTCCTTGGCCTACCACACTCTTTCGATTTTGAAACGTCCAACTCAAGGACTGCAGCTAACTCAAGGACCGCAGCCTCCTCAGCCTCCTACGGGCAGCAGCCTCCTCAGCCTCCTACGGGCAGCTACCCGTCGTTCGCATGGCCCGCCCCTCGCTAAGCCCTAACCTCAAAATTTCCCACAGACCACGGACCACCGACGTTGAAAGTTGAAGGTCTGGGCATAAAACGCAAAACCCTGACGGACTGCGAACACACTGCTTTGGCGTATGTGGGATACCAGTCTACTTTTCCGTTTCGCTCGGCGCGTCCCCACCATTTTTCTTTTGGATAGCTTTTAACTTTAGTGGTGGGATCAGGGCCTAATCTTCACTGTATCGTTAAAATTTCGCGGGTACCGCGCTGCCAAATCTCCAGCCGGTACACTAGGCAGTACCCCACGCCCGTGGCCGCCCGTAACAACCTTTTCTCTAGTCTTGGGAACGTTTGGGAGAGTGCGCCGCCCACACTCCGCGTCTGGCCTATGCTAAACTTCGACTTCGATATCTACGCTATTACGCTCTACTTGCACTTTGGTACTTCAATCTGTCACGCTCGACTCGTCCTGGGCATCTCGACGCATCCTGTGCAGTCTGTCGGGGTTCAACCTCCTGATGAGTCGGTGAAAGTCCGACGAAACAGTCTGGCAAGGTCGTGCTTTCTTTCTGTGGCGTTGTTTATAGACGAAACGGTCCGGCATAGCCGTGCTTTTGTTTTTGTGGCGTTGTTTATAGCCAACATCAGAACAGCCACACACACGCATACACATAAGCGCACCCACCCAGAACATACGCACACACATAAGTTAGCACATCACACACAGAACACACGCACACGCACACGCACAAATGCTATGGTAGACTGTGCTCGTCTCTGTGCTGTACTGGACACACAAACACACGCACCGACTACATTTGCGGGTGGAGCCCGAGAGGATTTGTCATCGCTGAGCTATTGTACTTGCTGGAGGTTGGACTCTGCATCCTGAACGTTGGACCCTGCTCGGTGTCTCAGTCTTGGAGGTTGGAAGCTGAGGCTTGGACGCTTTGGGCAGACCGCGCCACCATTACTGAAGGTAAGTAAACTCTCCATATTTGTTCCGTTTCCGATCTTTCTTTAGTTTCTATGCTGTCGCGCTTGATCGTCTTATAGTTCAACGTGGCAAGTCTGGCACACACACACACACACACACACACACACACACACACACACTCACACACATACACATACCAGACACACAGAGAGAGAGAGAGAGAGAGAGAGAGAGAGAGAGAGAGAGAGAGAGAGAGAGAGAGAGAGAGAGAGAGAGAGAGAGAGAGAGAGA